GGCCTATAATTACCAATATCGTGCCCCACCAAGTTTGGTTTCTTCCTAATGGGTCAAATGAGTGTCTCCTTAAGGGCAAGGAGAGACCCATTAATTATTGCCATAGCTCATTCAGATGTTGTAAGCCTGGCTGCTTTTATTAGCCAGGCCGATCAAGGGTCAAGAGATGAGGTGGTGGCACGACAGCGGTCAAGCACTCTGTCCACCATATCTGACATCACAGGCTGAAAGAGATCGAGTCTCATCGGGCAAGATGGAGCGCTGGACGTCTCAGCTCAATCCACTGTTTTCAAATAGGGGGTAAGATCCTGGCAAATGGCCTCCACTTTTGATTTTTAAAAGGCTGCAAATTGGTCAGGTGAGATGCTAGTGGGAGGCCAGTCACCATGACCAACTCCGGATAGATCGTGAACTATACGGAAAAGTTCCACCTGCTGTTTGGAGGCTTCACTTATCTGGACAGTGAAGTAAGATAGACTAACCTCTACCAATCTAATTCACCTTAGATTGGTACAGGTTAGTCACGATCCTGACTGCTATTTGATTATTTTCCATCAGGTTCTGCCTCCATATGCGCTCTAGCCTTCTACTATTTCGTTTCATTGATCGCAGCTCTGGATTAAAACAGGGCGAAGGGCGATCTCTGCGCCAGAGAGGGCATTTAGGTGCGATTATGTCAATGGCCCTGGTGGCGGCGGCCAGCGAGCTATTAACCAGAGCCTGGAGTGCCAGGCCAGTCAAATCAGCCGGAATCCTTCTCATGGTGTCCTGGAATCCTATAGGATCCAATTACGTTTGAGAGTGTACCATTAAAACAGGTTCTTGCTCCCCGTGGGGGGGGAAGAGCCACTGCAAGGTTGAATTTAATTAGGTAATGATCCAACCATGACAAGGGGACAGACACTAGGTTAGTCACCATCGGTGCACACACACTCTGCTCAGTGGAGAACACCAGATACAGTGTGTGGTCACCCACGTGGGTAGGGCTGTTGACGTGTTGGGGCATATCCAAGGAGGTCATGGTCTCCAAGAACTCAAGAGCTGTACCGGAAACCTCTGCCTATGCATGTTGGAATCACCCAAGACCAAAAGCCTTGGGGACCCTGACAGTGCTGCGGAGACGAAGTCCGCCAGCTCCAGTAAGGAAGTGGCTGGGTTGCAGGGAGCACGGTAACACAGCAAGATCCCTATACCATCCCTGGCCCCAATTGACACATGGAGACCTCTAGACCCAGTGTAACCAGAGCAGAGTGCGTAGCAACCTGAAGGGTGTTTTTGTAGACAATGGCTACTTCCCCTCCCCTCCCCTCCCCTCCAATCTACCCTGGTGTTGGACTGCATAACTGGGAGGGCAGGCAAGAGTCAGGGGAATGCCCCCTTCCCTGCCCATCCATGTTTCGGTTATGCATGCCAGATCTGCATCCTCCTCCAGAATCAGATCTTGTATGATCTTGGACTTATTTGATACAGATCTGGCATTCAACAACACCAGTTTTAGAATGGAGGGCTGGCTGAGCTGACTACCTCGAGTCTGGCAGGAGGTCACAGTGCCAGAACAGTGAGCAGATTTCAAGCATCTGTTCACCATTCTTCTGGAATGAATGGCAACAGCACCTGCACCATATCTCCCTCTGCTAGAAATCACTCTGATGTTAAAAAAAAAAATCCCCCTCTGGGGGGCAAGCCTTCCACTTCATGCCAACCAAGAAAAAAGAAAAAAGCAAGCAAGAGATTTAACAACTAATGAGTAGTAGATACTGATGAAACAACAGATTTAACAACTAATGAGTAGCAGATAATGATGAAACAAAACAAACAGTTACATAATAAACACAATAAGATCAGACATCATTAACAATATACAAATTATATACAGATTAAACACATCATTAACAATATACAAATTATATACAAATTAAACAAGTATGTGAGGGTTCGCTGGGGTGGGCTGTTTGGGAAAACTAAACAAAATACAAAATAAAAATAAAAAAGTTTATGATGGGAGCTTGTGTGATGCAATGAACAGAGTGACTGACTAGGAGTCAGGAGACCTGAATTCAAATCCCCACTTGGTTGTGGAAACTCACTGAGTAGTGGCAAGGGCACAAAGATGTGCTGCTTATATACTGCCCCATAGTGCTTAAAGCACTTGTTGGACAGTTTACAATTTGTTATGCAGGGTACACATTGCACCCCCCCCAGCAAGCTGGGTACTCAGCCACACTTTACATCTCTTACATACCTTGAAAATCCTACTTAGGATTTTGAAAATCCTATTTAGGGTTGCCAGACGTTGGATGTGATTTGATTGCACGTAATACACATGCCTTTAGATCCTTCCCACATGATAGCAAGTGATCCTAAGCCAGCAGCTTCCTTTAGGAGCAGGAATAGGCACTGGGTGAACCCATTTGGGCTCCCCCTGGGCAGTGACTGTGCCTTATCAGCTGATCTTTCTGCTTTGGAAGTATCATTGGAATGGTTCTGACACCAACTAAGATCCATACCTTGTTAGTAACTATGGTCCTCCTTGCAGGCTTGTTGCAAAATAGAATAGAGATTGTAAGGGACTTAAGAAGTACAATATAAATTGCAAGAGAAACCTTTGGCCTTCTCGACATTTTGGATTACAACTGCCATCCCCCTTATCATATGCCATGCTGGAGGGCAAGCCGGAGGCCCAAAATCTGAGGAGTCAGTTCGTCGTCGTTTAGTCGTGTCCGAC